AGAAACAAACAAACAAACAAACAAACAAACAAACCAAAAAATTTTGGGCCAGGCACAATGGTGCATACCTTTAATCATAGCACTCTGGAAACAGAAGTAGATGTGTTTCTGTGAGTTTGAGGCCAGCCTGGTCAAAATAGCACAATCTAGGCTACAATAAGTCAGAAAATAGCCAGAAGTGCATCCAGAAAAATATACTTGAATAGCAGAATAACTGAACATCCAAATGGTTGGTAATATAAAATGACCTGATATGGTGATATTTTATTTGTGCTGAAATGTGATTTTATTTGTATGTTAATAAATAAAGTTGCCTGGAGATCAGAGGTAAAAGCGAGCCATTAAGCAGAAGTCAGGTGGTGGTGGCACACACCCTTAATCGGATTACATGGCAGGCAGAATCTCTGTGTGTTCAAGGACACTAATCTCAGTAACAACCATAGAGACCTGGATGTCTGTATAGACAGGCAGTGACAAGGAAGTCATGTGGCGAGGCTTAGAGCCAATGAGAAGGCAGAACAGGAAAGCAATAAAACACAAGTCACACAGGAAGAAGGTCTCTCTCTCTCTCTCTCTCTCTCTCTCTCTCTCTCTCTCTCTGGGGAAGCTACAGTGGCCAGGTGGTAAGATAAGGTGGTCTTGGCTCTTTGCTAGTGCTCTGATCTTTTGGGCTTTTAACTCTGTATTTGGCTCTGTGTTTCTTATTTAATAAGACCTTTAGAATTTCATCTACAACTTGATCTCATTTGTAGCTAGGAAAGTATAACTTAAAGCAGAATGGCTGAAATGCTGAAAGACTAACAGTAAAAGTATAAGTGTGCTGTATCAGTACGGCAGGAGACTATATTGAAACACACACACGCAAACATACACACAAACACACACACACAATCCTTAACTCTATGAACACTGTTTGCATATATACATAGTTTATGATCAGGAAAATCTGCTGCTGTTTTATATACTGAAGAGAAATGTGTGAAAAGAGACATGGGCAAGGGTATTTATGGAAGTACTATTTACAGTTGTCAAACTTTGAAAGTTATGCACCAAGTCAACAAGGAAGTTGAACAGAAGTGTTGTCACACTGTGGGGCACTCACATGTGGCAATAGAGATGACACACCACAGCTCTTGTGCAGGTTCATGAATGAACCTCATTAATACAATTTGGGTCACTAATGGATTCAATTAATATGAAGTTTAAAATAGATGGATTAATCTTTGGGTTTGAAGTCTGGGTGAGAAATGAGGAGCTAGTCCTCAGTGGGGGCCTTCAGAAGAGTTTGGAGAAGTGGTTGGAATTTTAGCTTGCTGCGGGGATAGTATTTTCCACTCATGGGCATGTGACTTAAATTGGATGCTGGTTGTTTGTCCCTTGGTGGTTCTTGTGCTAAGGGCTTGGACTTGGGCTCTCCTGGGAGGCGGTAGGATCAGTAGGAGGTCCTTACATCATTGGAGTCAGGTCATCAATGTGGAGTGGAGGACTCTGGTCTCTCTCTTGCTGCTTCCTGACTGGAAAGTTTTCCTCCCTACCTACTTCCACCACAATGCATGGCCTCTCCAGAGGCCACGAGTGATGGGGCCAAAGCATGAATGTTGCATGAAGTATTATTACATATCCCCTTCTTTCACCAGTTAACTGTGCAATGGGCTTCATTCACTTAGTTAGTGAATGAATAAATTGAGTTGTGTGGGTGCTGCATAAATTTCAGGGGAAAATGGCAAATGCAGATATTGGAAGCACAGGGCTGTTGCCATCTTCTCTAAGCCCATGTAACCACAAGGCTCAGACTCCTCGTGCCCCTCGTTTCTGGACAAAATGTTGGAACAGTTTTAGGTTCAGAGCAAAATGTAGTGGAGAGTACAGACATTTCCCTTGTACTCCCTGCGCCTGCCCATCAACACACCTGAGCCGCATGGCCTGCTTTTTGAAGTCAAGAAGCCAACGGTAGCACATAATCGCCCAGAGTCCAGTTTACACCGAGGTGCACTCTTGGTGTCGGTCCTTCTGTAGTGTATGTGTGGTGACATGTGAGTAGCTGATCACTTGAGCTATTCAGTTGTGTGCTGAACATGGAGAAAATGAACAAGGATTTAGAGGGTTCAGTGTGCAGCAGCTGTAGTGTGGATACAGCCTTCAGGAAAGAGCCCAAATCTGAGCCCAGACATCATTAAATCTCTGAAAGAACAAAGCTGAGATGGCATGTGGTGGAGAACCCGAGATCCACCTGAAGAAATGGAAGGCTGAGAAAAGGACCACCCCTGTCAGCCGGAAGGCGGTGGGCTTAAGGGCTTCCTTTTCTTTGACCTGTGCATCACTTAAAACTTAAAGAAGGTGCAAAGACAGACAATTAGGCAGGAGCTTCATCACTAGATGATGGCTTCCATCCTGTGTCCTGTAGTTGACTGGAATTTCCATGCAGACTAGCTGGTCTCAGAGCTCAAACTTACTAACTTTCAGAAGGGACCTCCAGGCTGCAGGGTGGGGTTGTAGAAATGCAGGTGAATCAGAATGAGGGAACAAACCTCAGTCGGGTAAAGGATCAGAATGGAGCAGCAGCGCCCTCTGCAGGTAATATGATCTTCACTCCTCTTCACCTACACTTCTCAGTGTCCCCTTAAGGCAGCAGAGACTTGGGTTCATTTTAAAACCTAACTCGTGTTTTTGTACTTATTGATGACCGCACACTGAGGGTACAGTCAGAGCCCAGGTGTCTACACTGATAGGAGTGTCCAGGGTGGCCCTAGACAACAGCTCCTCAGAATTTAACAGAACATTCTTGAAAATATCCAGGCCTTTATGAGTTAAAGTAAATTCTAGTGATGAAGCTGTAGGCTGGAGGGTGGGAACAGGGACTATCTGGATGCCGAGGGAGGCCTACAAAACACCCTGGAGTCATCAGTCCTAGGCCAAGGATGGTGCGCCATGGAATAGTTCACCGGGGCTCGGAGCCCTGGAATCTAGCTGTAAAAGGAGAAATCCATTTCCTTCCACCACTCTTTTCTGTCCCTCTGCCCTGTTAATTCCTCCCCTGAGCAGCTTCGGAGGACTTTTTGAGTTCCTGGTTCTCTACCAGTCTAGGAGACTGTTCCATCACAGACACTGTGTGGTCCTCAACACCGGAGACAAGTGATGAAACGGAGTGGCAGACAGCCGTCTGTTGCTCATACTAATAGCATTTTGGTGGTCCCATTTTTACAGTACCCCCAAAAGGGAAAGAAAGGCTTCCTGGGTGTGCTTGCAGAATAACCTGTCCAGCCATGCCCTGTGCTGGTTTCTCAGACAGATCTCAGTGCGTGCAGACATACACATTGTATTCCCCTAGGATAATGTATCGTGAGGAAGGCTGAAGGCCGTGCCCCTCACTTCAGATAGTGTAGGTTGGATTCTTGCTTCTAAGGGTTCAAATGCTTTGCTCCAGGGGAGGGAATTAATTGACCATTTTTTTTCTTTCAAAATATTAGCTTCCATGTCTTTTGAATCTAAAGCCGTGTTTTCTTTGACTCATTGTTTTTGTTTTGATTCACACCTTATCTTGCTGTAGCTGTTATCTCAGACTGACCTGGAATCTGCCACGTGGCCCAAGCTGCCAATAAACCTGTGCTGCTCCTGTCTCGGCCTCCGGAGGGTTAGGGTTACAGGTGTCAACACACGTGGTACATACGCTGTTTTAAATGGGGCAGTAATAAATAGAAATAATAAATAGAAAAAGTCAGTAATAAATAGAAAAAGACATAGAGTAATGCTTTAAGAACCTAAGTTTAACATCTCATTGGAAACAACTGCCAGTACAAAGTTGGCTTCTCCAAGGGAGGCAAAGCCCCTAGCTGAAATGATGCTGGGCACCTGCATCCAACATATCCCAGAGCAGACTTTGTTTCTAACGCAGCTCTCCAGAGCCAGCAGCTCTGTCCCCTCACTTCTTGGTGTGTTTCATTTCCATTACTGCCGTCACTCAAAATGTAGAGTTCTCAGGGCTCTTCCTGGAAGAAAAAGTTAGGATCTTGATCAGAAGTGTCTCTGGGGCAGTGATCCTTGAGGCTGGGGACCTGTGACACCTTGAGCTGATCAGGAGAAGTAGGAAGTCCCCAGGTCTCCTTAGGGCTAGACTTTGGGATGGGCTCTCAGGGACGCTAAGGTTGCCTTTTCACGTGGACCACACAGACTGGACCAGAGAATGCCGTGTGGGAACCCCAGTGGACTGCAGACCAGGGGCTCAGCCTCTACTGTCTTGCAATCTGACCTGATTTTCTGAAGGGCACAGGGTGAGTGTGGGTGAGGGTTCTGGGAAAGTGAATGGATGGGTAGTGCTGCTTGTAATTTCAACTAGAAAAGTGAAAAATTGTTTTATTTTTGATATCTGAATAATGCCTCAAACACCTTTGTTAATGTGAAATATTCATCAACCCCTTGTGTTTTGAGAATTCATATCACACAACAGCCACAGTACCCTTCTGGATTGTCTGGTTGCCAAATGAACTCATTTATCCACTTCATTCATTCATTCATTCATTCATTCATTCATTCATTCATTCATTCATTCATCAGCTATTAGAGCATCCACTATGGTCATGATAAAGGGTGTGCCATATTGAACAAGATATAGTCCCGAGTTCTTCCTGTTCTTGCTGGAGTCCTGGATGGGAGATGAGGACATGGGGTATAAAGGACATTGACTGGGAACAAAAGGTGTAGGGCTTTAATCTCACTCCTGTTTCAACTTCTGAGCAAAATTAGACCGAGTACTAACCTGCGACCTTCCCTTTCTGTACATGTAACACAGGGTTAAATTGTCTTTGCATCTAATTTTGTCCCATTGCATTTACTTTTTTAAGAGTTCACTTACAAAGAGTTAAATAAAAAATGCTTTGTATCCTTGGTCAGGAGAAAGAGGCCCGTGATTATTCTGTCATAGCAGTTGATGGTACTGTCTCTATGTCTAGCATTGACTATGAACACCCACAGACAAAAGAGAGCCACTTCTCACAGAAACGTTGTGCAGTTGGGGTAATGAGTTTATTATATTTATATACAAGTAAGCATTTTATTGACGTTTTGTCAAAAGTGAGGGATGAGGTAACAGAAACTATTACGGCATGATAAGGAGATAGCTGCACTGGGCCAATACTGAGCTTTAAGACTCAAAAGAACACAGACCCCTGACATCACAGCTCTCAGGCAGTGTAGTTATCGGGACCACACGGCGGCGCTACATCAGGCAGTGTAGTTATCATCGGGACCACACGGCGGCGCTACATCAGGCAGTGTAGTTGTTATCGGGACCACACGGCGGCGCTACATCAGGCAGTGTAGTTGTTATCGGGACCACACGGCGGCGCTACATCAGGCAGTGTAGTTATCATCGGGACCACACGGCGGCGCTACAGCACAAGCAGCACAGGACAACAAACACCATGACGGGGCAGTTGCTGACTGGGGGTGGAGCGGGCCGGTGGGTGCCTGGGGTCACTGTCGGGAAAGGGCTTTAAAATCGCATAAATCCTCCATATCTTTTTTCTATCTCAGGAACTTCTTTAGAGTAACTTTCCCCTTCTTCGTCGGAGGGCAGAGACTCAGCGAAGCGCTTCAGGAAGCCCCCGTATCTCTTCTGGTAGTCCATCCACCACTCGGGGCGGCCCACCCTCCTCATGAAGCCCCCGTAGCGCTTCTGCAGCTCTTTTGCTTCGTCTTCCAGCTGGGGGCTTCTTTTGAGGCCTCTCATGAAGCCCCCGTACCTCTTGCTCACACTGTCGTCCTCCCTGTCAGTGCTCTCCTGGTGTTGGCTCTCCCTTGCACGGTTGTCTCCTGTTCCCAGCAGCTCTTTCAGCAGGTCGGAGGAGTTGGCCAGGGTGTCACCCTCATCTGCATCCTTCTTCATGAAGCCGCCATACCTCTTGGCAAGGATCTCCCCTCCATTGGCTTCTTCTTCTGGCTCCACAGGATAAAGCTCATCCATCTTCTTCATGAACCCCCCATACCTTTTCATGAACCCTCCGTACTTCTTGGCCAGCAAGTGGCCCTCATCCTGTTTGCCGCTGTCTTTGAACATGTCGATGCTATCCCAAGGGAACTCAGGCTTGAACACCTGCAGGAGATCCTTGCAGGTCTCCCAGATTTTGAGAGAAGGCAGCTGTCCTTCACATTCCAGTGTGCAAGCCTGGGAAGACAAGAAGAAGCATGACCAAAAGAGACCCTTCTGAGCCAATGATGGACCATAGTTATCTGCTTTAGTATACACACTGTCACAGAGAAAGACTATTTCTACCCTCTCATTATAGCTTTTTCTCAAACTGAACAGCGAACCAGGGAGCACTGGAAAAAGGGATCAAGTGGGTAATAAGTCTCGTTAGAGATTTTGTTGGGTATGCTGTGTCATCCCAGGATCCTCAGTTCTGACTCAAACGGCTGCCTTCACAACCCAGTCTCGCCACATTGTTTCCTACTGAAGACGCAATTTTGTCTGAGACTTTTTGAACCCCATGGAGGAATTTCTATTTATCTGACTAGGGACATTTCCTAAAATTTCCCTCCACAAGAGACAAGCTTACTAATGAGACTTACGAGATTTATTAATGAGTGCACCTTGTCTATCTTACTCAGTCTCCCTGCAAACACCTCAACCTTCAGTGAAAAAAGGGGCAATTCCAAAATGAGGTTAAAAGGAAAGGCACTCAAAACACTACAACACACTTATTTGTTATGGATTACTTGATTGGCCAAAATGAGATGCTTTGACCTTTCTTTTTTTCCCCCTGCGGCTGATTAAAACAGATTTGATCATTTTGAACCAAATGCTGTTAATTACCTGGATGCAATGCACAGATTACTCATATTATTTTCTTAAGATTAAGCCATTGGTGTATAAAACAGGTCTTTTCCAATGCAGACGTATTCTTTAATAAAGGAGGAATTAGCAGCATGTAATTACTTTCTTATTATAGAGCAATTCAGCTCAAGCCATAGTCAGCTTTAGGCTACACATCTTAAATGATTCCTTCAGACAATTTTTTCTAGTCAATTGCTTGCCTTCAATAAAAAAAAACCATAAATATTAGATAATGTTACAAAATCCTATGATATTCCTAAGCATTTCAGGGGACTTCACAACCTTTGAAAAGACCTTACAGACACCAGCCTACAGCCTTTGATTTAGACAGGAAATCCAGTCCTGTTCTTGGCATTTAAAAATTGGTATGTTCATATTAAATACACACATTATTTTCACAATGAAAGCTTTTTATTTATGCAACAAAAATCTTCTGGAAAGATAGTTAACCAACTTTTAATGGTTATTTTAGTTTTGTGTCTAAGAAAATTAAATATGTGAGTACATAAAAGCTAAAGAGGAGCTAATTAAAATAACACATTTTATTCTTGAAAGTACATGATTAAAGACTCAAAACATCACTAAAAGCTTAAGAAATACAAGTCATAATAAGATTTACACTCTAAAAATGTATTTCCTTGATTTGGTGGTCAAAAATGAATGTCATTGATGTAGCTTTAGAGGTACTTATCACACACCGAGTGCTCTGGTCTAGAGCACACTAAATGGTAACATCTAGACAACTGTCAAGGCATCTTCTCATCTCGGTGCCCATTACACTATCTCATGGGAACCTGGTAAATACTTATTGACTAACTGTATCTTTGGCTAGGCAACCTCCTTTTGCCTCTGAGTTCAAGCAAAATTCCAGAACAGCTGTAATTTTAACAACATTTGAGCATTAACTAATTCTCTGTCAATGAGAAAACATTGACATTAAATGTACAACATTAAATTACACCACAATAAAAAACAAATTATTCATTCAAAAGGCTTCCTAAAAGATGTTGTTGTTCATAGAGGCTTTTCCCTAACCTCTTCATGCTGCATGTGCCCCTTATCATCTGCACCACAGATAAGGACAGGCAGCTACAATAGCAAGGACAAACTGTACCGAGGAAAAGCGGAGGAAGAGCAACACCCCTTCCACACTCCCCCATCATGTTCTTAATGATGAGCGGCAGTTGAGAAGAAGTAGAGAAACCAGAAGTTTCTCTGCTGTTGGGCAGCTACTTGTCATCCAAGGCCCCCTGTTCATGCTCCTCAGCATTGGAAAAGGACGATGAGCATCGTTTTTGATCTTGTGGAGGGAACAGCTGAGTAAAATTTTCTTGACTAGGTATTGCTAAATGTCAGTTATACTTGAGTCCTCAAATCATATAAATTAGTAAATCTGCTACTGTTTGAGGCCAGATTGTTGGCTCACAAACTCTTCTAGAATTCACGTCACCACTACAGAGCTGCAGAGACCTTAACGCTGCGTTCCTAAGTTTGTGCTGTGCTCATCAGGCAGAGGGCAGAGCTAAGATGCCAGTGACTGCTCAAAAATTACCCGTGGCTGTGCCCCCGAATTCAGGAGCCTGACAGAGATCTTCAGCACCGCAGGGTTTTCATCTCCTGTGTATAAAGTCCATTACTCACAAGGTTAATTCTTATTTACACTCGCTCAATCTTTAGGGAAACCTCACATGACTATAGGAGAAGGAAGAAAGCTGAGTGAGAGCATTCCTGTTTAAAGATGGAATAATTTTTCCCTCACAGTTTAAATACACAGTGCTCTCCTCTCTGAGACCAAGTTAGTCTACATCAACTGAAACAGATCATGTGATCAACCATTTCAGAAGCAAACGACATCTAACTGGAAATATCAGTTTGGATTTTGGAAATCCCTGTTTCTTCTCCATTTCAAACATCTCAAAAATGTGAAGCTTCCTCAAAGCCTCAAGTGTGAGCTGTGGCAGCTCGAACTAACATGACCCTCTCTTTTGAACTATCAAGAAATTTCAAAGACAGGGCAAGTGATCATTGAGAGAGTGAGTAAAAAAGGAAGCCTCTGGAATCTCAAATCTACAGATTCGGACCCAGGGGCCCCCACTCGTGATTGGAAAGCCTGTGGACGATGACGAAGGGAACAGCCATTTTGTCTTCCCTAGCTCCTGTGTGGGGCAGGCAGGCTGTCTTTGGACTGATTCCAGCTCCTTGGATGTTGACGGCCTCGCCTGTGCTTTTCTCACAGCCAAATCAAACTGTCATTTTAACCGTTATTATAAAAATGCAGTCAAGACGAGGCAAAGGGGAATTCTGGGACTACTAGTTCTTTCTGGCCTCTTTGGGCAATTCCCTACCTCTCCCCTTATCCTTTTCCAACCCAGAGAAGAAGGCCTCGAGGCTCAGGAAGCTCAACAAAAACAACGGGGGGTGGGGTGGGGGGTGGGCACGCTCTTTAACAAAAACAATTACCTTCTTTGCAGGAAGGGCATTTGTTTGAAGGGCCCTTGGCTTGGGTTCTAAAGTTGGGTTGAAGACTTCTTTCTGATAACCTAGATGAAGTGCTATCCGAGGTACTGAGAGAACACATGTTGGGGTTCCCGCATCCCCAGGGTCAAAACAAAATTGGTTTGTGTGGAGATACTTCAGCCCTTAAGGGTCCCAGATAGGCTTGTTCAAACATTGGAAAAGAGAGCGAATCGGGATCAACGTTTTGGAAATGTCAGGGTCACCCAGGTCACCAAAGGCTCGTACAGTGCACCTTCCGAGCGCGTGTGACGCTAGATGTCTGCAAGTCTGGTTGCATGAGCATGGCCAAGGACATCCCCTCACCAAGAATTCAACTCACCAAGAAGTTGATGTCTCCGGGGCGTACTAGGCGGTAGCTGCACTTGGCGCAGTCCTGGCTGCAATCTGCCTGCACTGTGGCCAGGAGGCAGGACCCAAGCGCCAGCAGCCAGGTGCAAAGTCTCAGGAATCGCGCCATGGGCTGTAGGAGAGAAGGACGCGCACATGTAGTCTTGTCCCGTCTCTGAAAGGTTCCCTAGGAGGAAACCTTGCTGGGTGGGAGGTCGTGGAGCAAGACCCGCACAGACACTCTTTCCTGGACTCCGCCCACAGCCCAACACCTTCCCGGGTGACTCAGGCTCGGTCCGGAGTGGCTCTGGCCGTCCTGGGGCTCCCTCGGGGGCATCCTGTTTTCCTGGGGGCACCCTATCTTCCTGGGGTGTCCTGTCCTCCCGATGGATGGCATCCTGCTCTTCCGAGGGCGTGCTGTCTTCCCCCGGCGTCGGTTGCCCAGGGCAAGATTCTGTTGCGAACACTGGAAACCTCGGCTCGGGAGCGGGCGCTTGGGGACTAAGACCCGGACCTCTATGCCAAAGAGGAACCCCGAGAAAGTTGGGCGAACGCATGCAATGAGGGAACAGGCTACAGTCACCATGGCACGGGAGACTTGGGGGCAAAGTCACTCACGCTGCCACTGTTCGGACGGAGCAGGCTCCTGGAGGCGCGGGTCCCAGACGCCACTCTGCAAGGGAGAGAAAAGAAGGCAAGTGTGAGGCGGCCGCGTCGGGGAGCTGGGCAAGGCGCGGGGCAGATCCCGACCTCACCGTCGCGGTCCTCGGTGTCGCTGGGCTGCGGGGCTCTGAGCGCTTGCCTCGCGGTCCGGAGGCTGGCAGCGGACACAGCCACTTTATAATTAGCCCCAAACCGAAGGAGGCGCGCGCGCCCCAATCGCCGGCGGGGCTGCCGCTGACGCAGGCCCTACGCCAGCCCGCGCCGACGCCTGGCGGGAGGGGACGTCCCCGCAGCACGCGGCCCCCGAGGGCGGCGGGTGCGAGTGGGCGCCGGAGGCCCCCCCACCGCGCAGTTGGGAACTCTGGAGAGGGCACGGAGGGGAAACTGCTTTCCCTGCATGAATCACTTCTGTGGCACCGTGGGTGGGGGTGTTTGAAAGGGCAGACGGACTTGGGTTTCTGAGAAGTTGGACACCCTCGTGTTTGGCGAACCTGCCCCTTCCCCACCGCCTCTCCAGGAGTACTGCAGGGACATCCTCTGCACAGCTATCCGAAAGTCGTAATTTTTCACCCCTCTGCCCCGACATTCCGGCTGTCTATCAGCGTCAAGTGCACAGTAGGCACTCAGTTAATAGTTACAGAAATCAGTAATTGAACCTTCCTGGGGATCTTAAATTTTCTCCTTTAGATCAGTGAGATATCCGGTCCCAGAAGCAATACCACAGGTACAGAAAACAAAACAACCGCTCCCCCAACAAAAAGGAACCTCAAAAAACAGAAACCACGCTCTGGGAAGCATGTTCTCCAAAGATCACAGGAGGGGTCAATCTTGGCTACGGGGCAGACTTGCAGGTTCGGGACTTGCTGTTGTCAGCGTGCTGCACAGTGTTTTTGGGGGTGTTTGATGAGTAAGGGGGGTGTCGGGGAGGTTTGATGTCAGTGTGTCAGGAGTTTGGTGTGGAGGGAACAAAGAAGAACGCTGTCCTGGACGCTGTGTCTTGGGTCTTGCACATCTTGTCCACGGGAAGGGACCTAGCTGCAGAAGGTGAGGCTGAGGCTTGCAGAGCAGCCCGCTCCCTCACTTCCCGGGTCTGTAGATGGTCGTTAGTCAGGAAGCTTAGATCTTACTCTAAGATCTCATATTTTTTCCTACTTGTAAAAAGGCAGCGGAGGTAACATGCTATTATATTGACACACCAGAGAGAAGGCACGGTGTTTAGGACAGAATCATCTGGAATAATGGACGAAAGTACTTAACCTGTCTGGCCTCAAAAGCTGTTTTTAACCACTCATCATCTCTCTCTTTTGGATCTATTATCAATTTGCCTCATATATCTCTTTTAAAATTCGCCCATTGTTTGTACCTATCTCCCTCGCCCTAGAAGGATATCACAAACAGTTTGAGAGTTCATAAAGAGAGGATCTCAAGGTTTTCCCAGTCATACAAGTAATTTGTAAAGGATCTGCCACCGCGTTCAACCTTCGCAGCTCCTGCCTCCACGCAGCTCCCGAGAGGCTCAATCTGAAATGCGTCCCCCATTTTGGTCGCTAGAGGGCGGCGCTCTCCTGCGTTGGTGGAGCACACCGAGGGCAAGGACCGCATCTACTCCCCCGCAGGACTCACTGTGCTGGCTGAGGACCTTCACAGAATGCTCCAAGGGATACACAGGTGCACTTGTTTTTTCTCCTGCCTGGGGAGGCCTTGTACTTGGACCGTGAAAGCACAGCACTTGTGTGGTACAGGCCAGCTTTGTCCCCTTTTTACTTTTTAGATTCTTCCCACCAGCGTTTTGATGATTTTTGTTCGTTCTTGCTTCTTCTCCCCATTGCAAAAGAGAGCTTCTGTCTGTCGTCACTTAAAGACGATTTCCTCTCGTTGCCCAGGCTTTGCAAAAGAGACGACTGCACTGAAGTACTGTGCAATATACTGAACAGAAGAAAGACACCTTTCTGCATCTGGGCTTTTGTACGCCTGAGATGCTCCTCGGACTCTCAAAGGCCTAGTGTGCTTCTCTTGGAATGTTTAATGTCCTCTCTGGGTCTTTTGGAAGGCTGCCTTTTCTCAGTGGCTTTAAAAATGTCACAAGAGCGACAACAAATGAGAATGCTCCCTAGAACCCCTCAGGCCTGTCCGGCACAGATAGTTTGGTTACAGCCCGTGGTTAATGAATGTGTGCCAACTGGATGGTTGCATGAGTGAGGTGCCAGTGGGTTAATCTTGCTTGCAAAACAAATCAGTGAGTGTTTCTTCTTATCATTTCCTCCTATCTACGCTCGGGGTAGAAGTCATGTTTCTGCATCCATTTCATTAGATTTGAACAGTTGCAATGACTGATTTGAGATCCATTTTTTGTCATTGTCTTTTAAATATGTGTGGTAGATTTTGTAGCTATGTTCTGACAAGGAGCCATTTCAGAAATCAGGCCCCAAACAAGGAAGGGCACCAGTCTTAAAGCATTTGATTTGGAGATTTCTGATTCTCAGGTCAAGACCCAAACCTTACCTTCTGACTCTAGGGTTGCAAACATCAGCTCAGAGCCAGCATGGTGACTTCTTGGGGTGTTTAACTCAGTTCGTAGCTGTTCAGTAAAGTGTTTAAGAAAGAGGGCAGAGGAAAAGTCCTGTAGGGGTCCCTTTCCATCCTCCTTCTTCATGCCACTCGAAATGCATGAGATCAGACAGAGCTTTGCTCTGGCCCCTCTCTAAGGCTCAGTGAAGGATGGAGGCAGCTCCTACCAGCAGAGGCTTCATGCTCTAGCATGTCAAAGGCTTGGTACTGTGCCAGAGCCAGGGAAATCTTGCTGATTTTCAGCTCCAATCTAAGGTGGATGTTTTGTAAAATGGGATCCTGTGAGTGTGGCAAGTTAGCATGAAGCATCTCTGCTATTAGGGTGGGCCCAGGAAGCTTTCATAGATTGAGAGAATCTATGAGACAGTCACATCAGCTTGAGTAAGATGCTTTCCTATTGTCATAAGCTCCCATCTTAAGGAAACCGTGTGCTGATTTATTCTCATTTTCAAAATCCCAGAAACAGATACGACTCTTGAAAGAAAAGGTAACCTGGGGTGTGGTCACCAGAACTGAGTTTAAAAGAGAGTAGTGGGGGGAGAGAAGGGGATGAAAATGCCAAGCGCACTGAGAATGCGTTATAATCTTAAAGGGAATGCAAGCAACTTCTGAACTTGACCTTTGTGTGTCAGGCAGGGAAAAATGTCACTTTTAGTATTAAATATATGCAGTAAGACAATGAGTGAAACAAACCACATTGTGACTCCTCAGAGCCACAGAAATTGCTGTGGATACAGTCAGTACAGGGTTTGTGGAGAAGCCTGACCTTCAGTAGTAACTTTTGGAAAGGTGTTGAGAAACAATGATGTTAAAGTTTTGCATTGTCTCCTTGGACACAAGCCTTATTCAGCAGTTTGCCTTTGATTTGCTCTTAGTCGTTTCCAAAATTAAATTCCAAGTTCTACCTATGCAGTTCTGCCAAAGAAGCCGTTTCTATGGCTGAGGCTGTGTCAGAAGAGAAGTTACAATCAGGCCTTGAGTCCTGTCAATCACTGAGGTGAACGGAGCCACTCTGAATCAGGTCCTTACGTGAATTTCTTTGGAAATGATCACGTCACAGAGGCTGAACATAATAGATACGCACTAAAGCTGTTCTGAAGTGTGTTTCAGATGGCCTTGGTCAAACCAGAGGTCATGAAATGAAACCAAAAGTCATGAGCCTGGGAAAAAGGGCTGATAGGGATGGAAATTAAGAATTGATAGGGACAGGAAGGGAATGAGGGAGTAAGGGAGAGAGAAATTACATATACGTGTGTGATTGTGTTACAATATCAAACAACACAATTAATTTAAAAACATTTTTCTATTAAGAGTCACATTTGTATAGCGTCCACACACCTTGGATGGACTCAAGTACTCAAATGCTTTGGCTGTAGCATCCCAGGACTCATCACCATCACTGGGTTTGGGCAGTGGAGGCAGGGATGTCCTGAGTTTGAGGCCTGCCTCTGTTATATGGAGAGTCTCTACTCAAAAACCTTCCATAAGATCTTATAGGGAGCTTGTCCAGGTATCTGCAGAGATGACCTGTCAAAGGCTCAGCAAAGAGAAAGGCCAATGACTCTGTTTTAATCTGTCAATGGGGCAGAGTCACAGAAGAAAGTACCTCCCTGCCCCGGAGCTGGAGAGAGCAAGAAATGAATGCAGAAGAAAAAACAAACAAACAAAAACAAAAGCAGCTTGCTGGAGCAGAAACCCATGACACCAACCTCCCAGACAAGTGTCACAGTGGGCCACCTGCATCACAAGTGGCAGTTCCTGCAGCCTCAGTGGAGCCAAGGCGGCAACAGAAAATGCAGGGATCCAGGCTCATGGGCTGCACCCTCTTTTGAGCGTCATCTCGAGGAGCATGACCTGGTTGTGACAGCGAACGCTGGAGAAACGTGCAGCTCCTGGCAGAGAAGAGGGACACTGGTCAACCACGGAGCATTCTGCTTTAAAGCCTGCTCACCACAGGAGAAGCCAGGTAACCAGAGACTGGCAGACCTGAGGGGAGGAAAATGCCCAACTCCACGCCACTCATGCTGTGCTGTTCCGCGGACAAGGAGAGTTAGGAAGAAAACGTGAAGATCACAGTCCAGGGCACAGGCTTACTGAGTAACAGACTCACAGGGCCATAGCTGCAGAGCTCCCTCATCCCAGACACAAAATTACTACTGGCCTGTCGACATCAGTTTCCTTTCCTCAGTGTCTCGTATCTAGCCATCAAGCTATCAATAAAAAGGACAAGATAGACTAAAAGGCGAAAGAACAGCTTGAAGATACAAAGAAAGCATTGGACTCACTCAGATATACCAGGAGTGCTGGAGTCATCAGACCAGGCATTTAAAACAGCTGTGACTTATATGTGAAGCCTATGTAATGGGTAAATACACAGCACCCCATTAGAAGAAATAGAAGCAAGTAGAGATAGCAAACATTTAATACAGAAGCAGAACAAAACACCAAAGGCCAAGCATGCTGCAACAGAGAAGGACACATTTGAAAACATTGCTGAACTGGATGGATATGGCTGAGGCAATAATCTCTGAGCCTGAAGACATGTCAACAAAATTGCCCAAACTGAAAATCAAAGAGAAAAAAAAAAGACGGACCAAAGAACTCTGGGGATGTGATATACCGCTAAGAAGAGCTCTAAGAGCAGAAGAAAGCAGTCACATGCAGGTCTGTACCCC